CGGCGGTATTTTGTATTTTACCGCCGTGGATTTATTTGTAATTATAAGGCGCCTTATACGAAAACTTGGTCGTGTTAATTTCTGGGTAAAAACAGCGGCTTTTTTTAAAATCGTCGTCTTTACTTTCTACGTCGGTCGGTTCATAACTTCCGCCGTTATTTGTTGGCTATGATTTTACCACTTGAAAATCCTATTTCAATAAGACGTTGGTTTTTTAATTAGGTACGTCGTGTTTTAGGAACAACCATTTGAATCTTCATTTTTTAGTTGTCTAAGGTGTTATTACACGGCGGTTTTATAAAACCGTCGTATTTTAAAAAACAACGACGGTTTTCACTTAGACCGTCGTTTTTTTTTTGTCGTCTTTTTCACTTTTTGTAGTAGTGCAAGGGGTCCAATTACGGAAGAGGAAGAGGATCATTCCTATGTGGAAGATCCTTGAAGCTAGTGAATTGGTTCAAAAAAATCTGCCAGAGGCAATCGGACTTCGGATGTTAGACCCAATGAAGGCGATTCTGCATGATGATATGATGAAATTGCTGAAATTTTGTTCGGAATAGCGCCATAACCCAAAGTAAGTCCTTTGTTTTTTGAGATAGAAGGCATGAGTGTATATATTTTTTAATTGTTGTGTTCTAAAACTTTTTTATATTCATAGTTTGGTGATGCAATTTGGCAACGTGGAAGCTGAGATTGAATTCTTCGCTTCCCTCGTCAAAGCTGACGGTTGGCTGAAAGGAGATGTAAGTTTAATTGATTATGCATTTGTTTGAATGTGCATAGATTATGAGATTGACAAGGAAAACATGTGCAGCACATTGATTTGGGCTTGTATCTCATCCGGAAGCGACAACAACAGTTGGAGGAAGTAGAAATATCGGATTGGACAACGACCGATGTATTTTTTATGGTATGTGATGCAGGATGCATAGGACCTAAATTGTTTAGTTTCCTAATTGATTTGTTAGTTTCCTATATTCTTTAGTTTTCCAAATCCTAGTAGGATTTCTAAGTTAGTTTTCCAAATCGTATTAGGATTTCTAAGTTTCCTATTTTATTAGGAATAGGATTTCTGTTTTACCTGGGGATTGTAATTCTATTGTCTCTAGGTTTTAGTTTGCTATAAATACCCCTATGTAGTTCTTTACAATTCAGATTTGAATATTGATTAAACATTCCTTTAAACTCTCTGATTGCTGCCTGCCTTCTACCTTTTCTTCCCTTCAGCTTTTCTTATCTGTTCTGTCTTATTGCTCTAAGTGTTTAAACTAACACACCCAGGGCTGTGCTACATCAGTATGGCATAGGCCTTGACGAAGTGCAGTTAATAATTACAAATTATCCATACTTGCTTTGTGGAGGTGTTTAACCATTGATTGTTTTCTATTTCACAGAATCACATCCATACTTGCTTTGCGGATAATAAAAGGAAAAAAGAGCAAGTTGGGTGGAAAATTAGAACCAGTTTACTGAACGTTGTAAATGGCAAGGTTCCGGCTTGTGGAATGGATTGGCAGTACACGTATAAGGTGTATGTACCTTGTATGTTGCCAAAATATAAGCATTGGGTGGCTCTAGAGATTGATCTGATTCAGTGTGAAATCAAAGTCTACGATTCAATGGTTTCACTCATTCCAGGTCAGAGCTTAAAGGAGGAACTCGGCCCCCTGTCAATTACGATTCCAAATCTTCTGCACACCCTCGACTTTTATGAAGAAGGTGTTCACGCGAACGAGTGCACCCGAGATTGGTGGTGTCCATGGCCAATACATCGTGTGGATGTTCCACAACAGGCTAATCAATGAGCACAACTTTTTATTTAATTTTATTACTTTAATTTGTCAATTACGTTAGAATGTCATTAGTTGAATTGATCGAGTTCTTGTTTTGCTTCAGAGGCGATTGTGGTATGTTCGTGTTGAAGTACATTGAGCTGTTGAGTGCTGAGATTCCCTTAGCTACTTGCACCTCGCAGAACATGCCATTTTTTCGATTGAAGTTGGCTGCAGAAATTGCACGGGGAGATGCTTACATGCCATGATATCGGTTGAACTTGGTTTAGGCACATGATGATTATATAGGTTTTGGGAATGTCAATTTCAAAGTCATGTAAATACACAATAGAGACCCATGGGTCCTTTTCGAATTCCACCTCTGCTCCTGAATTCTTCTTCGTCTTTCTCAATCTTAGTGTATTTGTGTACAGAAATTTAGATTTAAGTTACTGGACAATAACAATTAGAACCAAAATAGTGGCAAATATTATAGCGGATGCATGCTTTCATTT